GAAAGAAATATAGCAGATATGTTGGCTCCATTGTCTAATCCACAACTCACATCTCAACATTGTTCTTTTCTCACCTCTGCCAATGGGTAAGTCTAGCTCCCTCCCCTCCATCATTTTACTGATTTTTTCCCCTTCACTGTATCAACATTCCTCAAATCTGAGTCTTAGACTTTTTAGCATATTAATTCAAGAAAAAGTTCCACAGAAGGGCCAGACCATGGCACAGAAGTGAAATCTGATACTTTGTAAAGCAATCTCACAATTGAAGGTTCCTAGTTCAAATATGAAGACCTCCCTGTTTTTCACTTAGCTGTGTGCCCATGAACCAGGGCTGGTTGAAGGCTAGGAGTGGATTGCAGCATTAGAACACTATTGTTAGTGCTGTCCCTCTCTAGTTTCCTGTGTGTGTGTGCCTTTCTTGTTTATGGAAGTAATATAAGAAATACACTTTAAAAAATATATCGCACGGGCCGGTTCCATTGCCTGGTGTTTAAGGTAACCAGATTCCTCATAGCTAACTACATGGTTTGAATCCCAGACCTAGCAGCTTTAGAAACACGCCAGCTATATGTGTGTGCCTGCCAAAAATCCCAAAAGGAGTGGCAGATGGAGGAGAAGGGATTTCAGCGTGACCATTCCTTATGGGGAGAAGAGTGCTTTCTCACTTTCTTTCTTTCTGTTTCTGGTAAGCACACATGCCCTCTAACAAACAAAACAAAATACAGAAAAGAAAGTTTTGTTTGTTTGTTTGTTTGTAAGGCACTTTTATTTTAATGCTAGAGCTCCCAAGCTGTCTCATTTTTCCCTGGATTGGGAATTCCTTGGGATTGGAGTTTTCCTAATTACCAGACTGAACTGTTTTTCCTAATTGAAACCATTATGGGGATGCTTGATTTTGTAATTTTCTTTTGTCATTTGTGCAGAATCCCCAAGAGAGTCTGTTTTTTCATTCTCATTATGTTCAGGGAAAGATATACACATTCAAAGACAGAGAGCAAAGCAGAAAAAGAAGAAAGAGAAAGTGTGTGAGAAACAAGAGACAGAAACAAAGAAACAGAGTGACTGACTCAACAGGTAGAGTCAGATCTGCATATCACTGCCTGATCAAGGATATTCAGATTCCTGAACTCCGGACAAAAACAGAAGAATAGCAAAGGATATTTGCCTTAGGAGTTCTACAGGGAAGGAAGGGAAAGACATTGTCAGGGCAGGAATAGAGAAAGCTATCATCTTCATTCTCCTTCATTTCAATTCTGGAACCCCACAGCAGCAAGGTCAGTGAATTTACCAATTTGGAGAGATGAGAGGAAACCAGCGAAACAACAACATACATGCATAACAATGGACACACTTGAGGAATATGGATGCAGTAGTGGGAGGATAACCAATAGAATAATAAAAGGCCTATAGACATTGTAAGTTTTGGAAAGATTTTAGTGAAGGA